TTCGTCAGCATCGTCGTGTACAGCCTCCGGGATCGCGCTTTGGCCGTCGTATTTTGTTTATCATCGCGATTTGGAGTCACTACCTTCTTGTAAGTCGATAGTCCGGCTCGTTTTTTGGCTCGATGCACGGTTGTAGACGATACACCCAGCTTATTTGCGGCATCTCGGAGAGAGAGGTTAGGGTTTCGCTTGAAACTACCGGCAACTCTCTTTGTCGTCTCAGCGGCTTCCGGTTTTCGATTTCCCCCCGATCCAGACTTCCTGGCTGTCGACAAACGTTCCCCAAACACTTTAATTACATTTGTAACGGTTGATTTGGCAACTTTTAGCGATTTTGCCAACTTTGCGTGCGAGTAGCTCGGATTTTCGCGATGCGCGAGCAAAATTTTGATACGCTGCTCTTCTTGCTTGGACGGCATTTTGACAACTGAAGAGTGAATTCCAAAATCAAAATAGGAGCAACATTCTACACACACACACCTTCAAAATGAGGGGTGTTCAGGTTTTTTAAATGCAAAATTGAAAGAAATACGTCAAGTTGATATTGACCAAATTTTGACCGTATCACCCTTTATACAAAAAACGCTCGGCGTAATAATTATAACAGGATACATCTCTCGAAATTTTATTTAGAAACCCCTTGGAGTATTTTGAAGGATTTCTTTCTAATTATTAGCAATAAATTTTGTTGCAACTCTGTGATGAATCTTTCACACTAGGGTTTTAATTATCGTCAGAACACTCTTAAAACTCTGTGTCTTGTTGAATTCTCATCATAATTCTCTAGGAATAATTCTTTTTTTTTCACGGTCCACATACAAATCTCTTCGGAATCACGTAGGAATTTTCTCTAAAGTTTTTTTTTTACAGCTCCTTTTGATATCTTCAAAAATTACCTATGAATTTAATTTAGAACTTAAAATCTTTTCCACAGAAGTTCCACCACATTTTTCTAACAATTTCTAAGAACTTCATGTCAGAATTATTCTGGAACTCTGCTCAGAACTTCTCCTTCGAAAACTATGTGCGAATCCTCCTCAATATTTGTTTGAAATTAACACTTTGAATACTTTTAAATTTTACTAATAATTCCAGGGTTTGTCCGCAAGATTCTATCAATTGTTCTGTAATTTGATATAACTCTTAAAATTCTTAGAAATCTTAGAGCCGTGACAATTATAACTGCACGACTATTTAATAAATATGATATTTTTTTCAAATCTGTAATCTTGAACAAATTTCATAATCCCACATTTTAACTATTTTTTGCTTCAAATTTTGCATCCCAAAAATTGTTATTAATCCCAAATTTTGAAGAAAAAATCTAGTTTCAGATCCTACACAAATTTCAAAGCCCCAGAATCTTGGGAATATACGTAAATCATTTTTTTATTCTTTTATTGAATAACCTTTCAGTATTTTCTTTTTCAAGTATTGGTCAATAGGACGTGGGTCAAGGGGTAAGTCACTCAGCACATTGCGCCGAAATTAGATTCGACACAGCTTGGGCACATTCATCGGCACACTTTCGACATACCTTGCAGTCGATCCTCCCATCAAAACAAATTTCACGGTAAATGAGACTAACTAATATTTGAGTACCGTTCACTCAAATTTGCAAAAGCGTAGATCACTCGTAGAATGAGTATTTTTTTTTTTTATCAAATATGATTAAATCTCACTCATATTTGAGTGACATTTACTCATATATGAGTGACAGTTTACCATATTTAAGTAAACATTTACTCATTCTATGAATGACTTACAATTTTGCGAATTTAAGTGATCTTGATTCAAATATGAGTTAAATTCATTTACCTTGTAGGCCCTTCGAAAAACTATCAAGCCGAACAATGCATTAGGTCCTAAGTAACATTGATCGATTCTCCTCGTCGACTTTCTCTTTCGTTAATAACTTGGTTACAAATCCGTTTCTTGTCGTGTTATCCGTATTAGATTCTAGAAAATAGCTTCTTTTATCGAACTATGTGTTGAAAATAGCGGGAAGTGTCTAATAGACTGATACAAAATTTGAAAATTTCGCTCCACAGTGTTCAAACGGTTTCAAATGGGGTGCTGATTAGCCTCCGAAAGCTTAAACTCATTTGATAAGAAACTGACTTGGCACAAACCATTTGAAGTTTATATGGAAATTACTATGGGGAAACGAAACATTTTGTTCATTGTCCTCTAGCCTTTTTACATATTGAACTGTTCACAAATTCTATTTCTATTCTTAGGGGAATTTTTATCAGCTACAACTTTGCAAAAAAACGTTTTTCAGCCAAACGTCAAACTAAATAGTTATTAATTGTTTATAAGATTGATAATCTTATGGCTAGATTAAGCAACTGTATTGTGGGCAACACTGTATTCTGCAGTGTGACATAGTAGCCATGATTTTTGTCTGCTGAACAGTTGATTGAGCATAATCGTAAGACATCAGTGACTTGAATCATTATTAATTTTTGGTTCTTTACATTTGATCGAAAAGTGGTCTTTGTTGTAGTTGTAGCTGGGAAAATTTTTCGTTATGCTCAGTTATCATTTTCTGAAGTAGAGTGAACTGGTGAATTTTGAACCGAAATTACGGTTTCTCTATAGTAATTCCCATCTAAACTTCAAATGGTTTGTGCCAAGTCAGTTTCTTACTGAATGAGTTCACATTTTGGGAGGTTAATCAGGACCCAATTTGGAACCGTTTGAGCACTGTGGAGCGAAAATTTCAAATTTTGCATCAGTCTAGTGTCTATGCATGGCCGTGGGGATGCAAAGAGAAAATCTACTGAAAGAATTTGTCAATGTTACTTAGGAGCTAATGCAATGGTTGGCTTGCTATTACTTGACTTGACAGTTCGTTATATGTGTGGTCGTGAGATGATCTATTTGGCTTTTATTTTTATTGGAAAAGCATCGTTATTAAGCATCAACCAAAAAGAAAACTCTGTCTCTTTTATCTTCATCGGTTCTTACGCGAGAAGGGAAAGTGACATCAACGATGTAGTTACGATGAATGATAAGGAGTGAAAAAGAAGCGCGATTTCACATGCCGATTCATTTTCGATAGGACGAAGTTGCATCCATTTATAGACCCAACAACGGCTTAAAAGATACCGGAATTAATCAAAATATTAAATTTTTGATCTGTAATTGCTTAGTACTAAGCCAATTGAAAAAGAACACATAATCTACATGGCTTTTCCGCTATTTGGCCTGGAACTGCTCAGCTCTCTAGTCTAAATTTGGAGGTATATGTTTGTTAGTGTCCTGTCATTTAACATTTCGAAGAGAAATCTGCTCTTTTGACAGGACAGCTTGTAGGTCATTTGTTCTAAAGTCGTTTGACATAATGGTCATTTGGCATAAGACCAGTTCCAGGCCAAATAGAATAAGAACTTACCAATTTGCATGGAAATTTGTATATGTGTGTGTTATGGGCAACCATTCACATTTTTGTAAAAGTTCATGTATAATTTATTTCCATTTCCATGTTAGGGTGGTCTACAAAATCAATACTCCTATTTGACTAGACTGCCATGCGTCTCCATTGAGTTAAAACGACTGTAACATGGTCATGACGCATGGTAGTCTAGTCGCTCCAAACTTGATAACTTCAAAAAAATATAACTAAAACCAGAAAAAAACACAACGTTGATTTTTGATATGTTGTGTGAAAAAGCCTAAATTTTCAAGGAAAAATATAAAAGTATATTGCGCCCGCTGTCTACAAACCATCATAAAATAAAAACAAATTCAAGCAATGATTTTCAATACACAATCCTATTTGTTTAATATCATTATTTATTTTTTCCTAAAAAGTATTTTCAATTACCTTTCATTTAATATATTAAAAAAATGATTTTTTGGACCACCTTAATGACAAAATAAAAAATACGGGAGCGACGCTTGCCGACTTGCCAAATCCATTAATTTTCGTAGTTTTTCATTTGGCTGAAAATTTTCAGAAACGTTTCTCATGATCAAAAATGCCATTTTACATCTTCAGATCACGATCAGATGAATCGAGCCTTAATTTTGAAAAGGGGCTATAGAAAAATGTAAAGCGTATCTTCAGAAAACTGTTAATCGAAAAATGTTTTTCCAATCGGTTTGGTACCTTCGACAATGTTGCAGAGAACATCTGAAAATATTTGAAAAAAGTGCTTTCTAAAAAAAATCATTTTTTTTTAATTTAAAATGAAAACTTGATGAGCTGGTAAGAACTTTTTTACTGTGAATTTCCCGATATTTCGGGAAAAAATATTGTAGAAACTGGAGAACCACGAAATACATTCGAAAATGGCCAAAAACTACCAACATTAAGAAAATCGACTTTCAAACCGCTACATCTCGAAAACTATAACGCAATAGGTGGCATTCATTGTTCCATTAAACATATAAAAAAAATCGTTTTTGAGGAAAACGATTTTGTCTTTATTTTAAATTAATTTTTTTAGAGTTCATTTTTTTTTTCAAATAGTTCCAGATGTCCTCTACAACATTGTCCAAGGTACCAAACCGATAGGACCAACATTTTTCGAGCAACAATTTTGCTGAAGATAAGCTTAACATTTTTCTATAGTCTCTTTTCAAAATTAAGACTGGATTTAAAATGGTGATCTGTAAATGCAAAATGGCATTTTTGGTCACGAGGATCGTTTCTGAACAAAACTACCAATTTTTACGAAATTTTGATAACCACTATATCGTTTTGCTATGGAATGGAATGGCTGTAGGTATATGAGAGAATTTAAAAACAATAGGTACTGACTTTTTGGATATGTTTTAGCTTAGATTTTTTGTTTTCCGGGAAATGGGTCATCCCAGAAAACGGATTTCCGGGAAACGAGTAATTTCTAGTAATTTCATTTGAATTTGAATTAAAAATCAATTGCCATAAATTCGTTTGAAAAATGCCTCCCCAAATTGAACGCAATTATTCAAGAAGAAACTTTTTTTTGCTTAATACTTACGTCTACTTTTTCCCCCTTCCATTGCAGGGTGCCAACTCTCGCGGTCAGTCCCCCTATCCGCCTGGTCCCCCCGGGCAGAGTCCTGGTAGCTACCCTTCTCCGTCACAGCAACAAGGTGGACAGCAACAGCAACAACCGGGTCAACAGCCGGGCCAGCAGCAAGGCGGTCAACCCGGCCAAGGGGGTCCTCCACCTCCGCCCCAAGGTCACCAACCTGGGCCGGGGCAACCCCCGCAGTCAGGCAGCGGTCAACCGGGTCAGCCTGGAAGTGGTCCCCCACCGCTACCTCCCTCGTCGCAGGGACCACCTACCAATTCTCAGTATACTCCCTACCAGCAACGATATCCAACTCCACCAGGGCCGAATACCGGTCCCAACCATCGGTCGCCCTACCCTCCACATCAGGTAAGTTAGCACTTGATTTTACTGTGAAATCCTCTGCGGCGGAATGCACACAAAGTATAACTAAAAATGCAATTTTGTCGTCATCCTGGCCGTTCCCTTTTTTTTTCTTGTGTTGGACCCAACCTCCCTTAGGAGCTTGAACGAACATCACGAGCAGAGAAACGTCGGTGGTGCTTGCCAGTGCAATATAAAACGATTATGTCTGTCTGTTCTGTCATCGTCGTCCTCGTTGGCCTCTGTTGTTATGACCTTTTAGGAAACTTTTCGCGCGCAATAATCGTTGCTGATGCAGCCGTCCTCGGCCCGACATCTAGACCGGGACAACATTTGTTCGTCTGTTTGTGCTGCGTGACTCCGTCTCCGCCAGGAACCAACAAGTTGTAAAGTGCGATTGCAGCAGTCTCCTGATTTCCATCTTTTACTTTTCTTTGATCTGTGTTCCTCCAGTTAGGATCTTTGAAAGGAAATTGTGTTGATTGAAGCATGGGCTTTGAATAAATTGCCGCCGGAGCAAATGATTAGAGCTGGTTTTGTTTTACTTGAAATTGGATCAATCATATCATGGTCTTCAAGGTTTTGAACTCTGTAATTGATATAAAATGGGAGGCTGCTGTGCAGATCAATGCTCGTTTACAAAATTAGAACACAGTAGATTCTAACTCTGGAAGGTACCCAACCCACATCTTATAACAACTAGAATATTCCGACCTTGAACCGATTCTTGGATCGAGTTGTTTGCCAACAATCTAATCTTCATCGTTCCACCATCACCTCGCACACAATCATTCATCCCGATCCTGTCTGGCATCATTCAGATGGAAGGTCTTCTTCCGGTCTCTTTGATTGAAATTTACCATCGCCATCCTCCAGGCTCCTTGGTACTATCGTCAATTTATATTTATCACATCGTCGTTCTCGTCGTAGTCGCAGTCGTCGTATGACGGTTTGCTTGACGTGCATCCCAATGCATCCGCATTTGAATCGGATCTCAGCAATACGCCACAGCGCTTTTGACGGTGACGCGTCGTTCCTAACGGAGTAGGTGAATCGTACAAATTTGCTCCAGATGGAAGGAACGGGCGTCATCACAGATTCATGAACCCGTCAGTTCTCAGTGTCGGTAGTTGTGAATGTTAGGTTACACTCGAGAAAGGCGAGAGACGTGTGGATGGATGCCGAAGCGGATGCTCCTTCCAGCCGGTTTAATCATCTTATACTTGAGCTAGGATTTTCTGCAGTGCCATGTTCAGGGGAGGGTTCCTACATTTATTTATTCGACATTTCGATGAAATTTAGCTACCGCTTTATGTTGCCGATGGTGATTCAATCATGACTCACATGAATCACAATTATTTTCGCCTTGAAGTATTCTCGGTGATTTGTTTAACAGGAACAACCCTGCTACTTACGCTCAAACTTCTCACATTGTTCAATACACGGCCGATGAGATCGAATTAAACTAATTGAATGGTTTTGCACTAAAAATCATAGACAGTAAAATTTTCCGCGCTTATTCATTCGAATATGAGGAAAATCGACGAAAATTTTACACATTTACTAATAAACTAAGTGAAGCCTCTTACGATTTTCCTCATATTCGAAAATTTTGCCAGCGGAATCGAAGAAAATTTTACTCCAGTCTATGAGTAACCTACGGATTTTTTTTCCTTTGGTTTGTTTTCCGTCGATCTTGTTTTCCGTGCTGAGCACCAATGCTACCGACGCCAGAGAGGCAGCTCCCACACCTGTACCCTACCTTACGACCCATCAAACTCATGAACCGGGGACCAACCTACGGATTTGAGTTGGTTCAATCGACCGTGTTTATTAGAATTTCTAATAAGTAAATCTTTGGTATCCTCCCCAAACTACTTCGTAACTTCAATACTTTTCCCGAAATTCTGTTTTTGGAAACATATTAAAAAATAAGCTCAGTCGGCTACAGCTACAAAGCAAGACTATGCTTCAATTTCCCTGAAGCATGCTTGGCATGCACAATTGTACACACCAATTGCTCATTTGTTAATAAATTTTCACTCCGTTGTTGAAATTTGTTATTCTTTAAAGTAATTGATAGATTATGATCATAGTTTTCTATAGACATGCAAAGAGTAGGTAAATCTTAACATTTTAATCAACACCAATGAATTTTTACACTTAAAGTTCAAGATGTGCAGCGAGCATTTCTCACTTCATTTTTGCAACGCAAATACAAATACAAATTAAAATGCTAAGAAGTAGAAATAAGATGACTTTATGGACAGATCCAAAGGGGCGCCAGATTTAAAGACATGTCTCATTTTGAAGACATTTCAAATTCTGTCACAGGACTTTACTGACATCTTCGATTAGCAGGGGATCGTTTGAATTCTGCCTGATCAACGTTACAGTTTTGAATAATATCTGAGGGACTGTAACGAGGGAATTTTTGAACAGTTGAATATTAAATTGAAGTCTTTAAAAAATATCCAGAGGACTTTAATGAAATAACCTGGAGATCCTTCATATCATTTCTGACCTATCTTTAGAGAATATATGCGATGCGCCGTTTAAGTTATTTAGTTGTTAAAGATCTTCAGATCTTCATCTTGAATAACCAGCCATTTCGTGGAGTTCCATTTGGCGAAATAACCCGTTTCGCTGAATTCCTTTTGGTTGAATGTGTTATGCCTGAATAATTTTTTAGCATTATGAGAACTTTCCTTCTTTTAAGGTATTTCCTTTTAGTCCTTTCTCTTATCACACTACTCAAGATTTACGGAGCAAACAAGTAGTGGTTGTTGCTATACGTAGCTGAGCATTCACAAAAACCATAATATTTCGAATTGTGAAATTGCGAGTGTAATGCGAAAAAGCATGCTACAAGGCATCACCTTAAACAGGAGTAGTTCTTTTTAATTTTCCTGTAATTCTGAGCTTTCTGAAATAAACATAGTTTCTGGTTTGAAATCATGAATGTGAAATCAGAATTTTATAATTCTTGGATAATTTTCCTTCTTTTAAACAGCAGTTGAGCAGTTGTTTCGCATTATCCTGTTCATTCTGAACTTTGGGACACTTGTGAGCCTCTAGCTTAGAATGGTTAGTGCAAAATCTGAACTAATAACTCTAGGAGAATTTCCCTTCTTTCGAACATCAGTTAAAATAGTTCGTGAAATGTCGTACAATTGATAATATCTGATCAAGCAAATAATATGTGGAGAAGTCATTTGAATTTTCATAATATCTTCAGACTAATACTTGATCAAACTGAAGTCTTAAAAAAGTATGCAGAGAACTTAATTGCAATTTTCGATCAGCTGGAAATCTTTCAAATACTTCCTGATCAACCTGCCGTCTTGGAAGAATATCTGAGAGACGAAATTTGAATTTTTGAACAATTGCAGATCTTCAAAATAATCGATTCATCACCATCGGTTGGTAGTAAGCGCCGATAAACTACATTTTGCTTAAAGTCAAATCGTGACTCTTCGATTGATCTTTTAAATTCGTAAATTCTTTGCATAATGAATCATTTTTTCATGAAAAAGTTAAGAGAATTAATTATTGATGTTCTTGAAAAAAATGTGACTTACACTGACAGAACTTCCCATCATAAATAGAAATATTAGAGGTGAAATTGAATAATGTTTACATTGGTTGACTTCAATACATTACTTCATACCAGGAGAGTTTTTGTTGTTTATTAGTTTATTTGATAAGGCTCAAACGAATTAACTTTACAGAGCCGAGAATTCTTGGTCACTAAACAATACATCTTAAAAGTATAATCAAAAGGTACAACACAATAAACACTGTATCTTCCGCTATCCAAAAAGCCTCTTCCATTAGATCTGGAGCCGCTTCCAGTGGTTTCATTGTATGGCAGTTACGCCAACAGGGGGCAAAGCGCTTTCATTGATTGTAGCAATGGACGCAAAACGTGGTCAGCACTCACACACTCATCACTAAACGGTTGATTTCCAAAGTCGACGACGCATCGACTGAAAGAACTGCTGATGAAGAACAATGAGGAGGACCACACAATGGTTGCTGCCGAGAAAACAGACGATAGCGTGGCCTGCTTTTGTCGACAGCCGAGTGAACACTGATACCAGGAGAGTAAAAAAACTGTTTTATTCAGAATAATTCTTGATCAACCTTAAATCTTGAAAAATATCCAGAGAACTTTATTTATATTTTATTGGCAAGCCATCAATATCAACGAAAGTGTCTAAAATTCTACGAAGTTTCCTGTACTTCCACATAGCTTTTTGTACTTTAAATCAGTTCCATGAACTCAAACTGAACTTCTTTACAATCCATTGAGCTTATCCGAGATTCCCTATATGAAGTTTCCTGAACTTTTGCGGGAAGTTCCGTCAACTTCTTCGGAGCTTACTGAATTCGTAAGATTTTTCCATAGCTTAAACAAAGTACAACTGAATTTCTACCAAGTTTGCTGAACTTTTAGTTATTTCCTATAACTCCCTTAATTTCTAGAAAATGTCAACTTCTTCCAAGTTTCGTAATTATTTTATCCAAAGTTCTCTTAACTGGAGCAAGATCTCAGAATATCCATGAAAATTTTCAAACTTCCGGGGAGCCCTAGAAGCTTTTCTACCAATTGCTTCTAGTTATTGTTCCTTATTGTGTTCTTAACAGCTTGATTAGCTCAGAGAACTAACTAAATGAGAATTTAGGATAATGGGAAGAATTTTGAATTTGGAAACCTGGTTAACTCGTAAAATTAGCTTCTCAGTGAAATTTTAGTATTGTAATGTTGTTGCTATTGCAATTTGTTTTCCTTGATTTGTTTTCCGTACTGAGTACCAATGCTACCAACGCCAGGGAGGCAGCTCCCACTCCTGGACCATACCTATCGACCCATCAACTCATGGACCGGGGACCAACGGCTTTACTTCCCTTCCGAAGCAAGGCGTGATCGGGGATTGTATGCCTCAGAAAATCCCGGCGGCGTCGACTGGGATTGAATCCAGGCCTTTTGGGGTGAGAGGCTATCACGCAATTTATGTAGATTTAATTAAGTTGAGGGTTGGAGATGAATGCGCTGTTTCTGAGATTTCCCCTGGATTAGCTTTCGGTTATGCGTACTATCCGGAATAATTTTCTTGCGGAGCTGGTGCTCAAAATGTGCTTGAGGCAAATCAAATATAATGGGATTAAAAACAAGTGTTTCATATGTAAAGAGCACAGTGAACCGGGAAAACCGGAATAGCAGGGTTTAAATTCCCTGCTATTCCGGTTTTCCCGGTTCACTGTGCTCTTTACATATGAAACACTTGTTTTTAATCCCATTATATTTGATTTGCCTCAAGCACATTTTGAGCACCAGCTCCGCAAGAAAATTATTCCGGATAGTCATCGGGAAAATACTAAAAATGACAAATCTGAAAAAATATATCTCGTCCTCTCTTCGAAAACAATAAGATTTCAAGACCCTTGGCGTGGACTAGATTTTTAGGATGCAATGCACTTTGAAGAACTATCAATTTTAAGCAGATTTTAGAAAGAATTGTGGAGATAACACCGAGGTATTTCAGAGAATATTTTCTAGGGAGCTTTCGAAAAATCTCTATGAGAATTTTTACTATTTTTACCAAGAGTCAGGAGGATTCCAGTATTCATGAAAAATACCAACGGAAGTGAATTTAGGAAACTCCGAGGATAATTCCAAGCGCATTTCGAATGCAATTTCTAGTGAATTTACTGAGAATTTCATGCAATTTCCAGATCAGTTAATTGAAGAACTCCAAGATAGTTCTGAGCAAAGGGGGATTACAAGTTTCGCTCATGAAAACTAATAGGTCCTTTTCAATTGTTGGTTGAGAATCTAAGGTGAATTGTATGGGAACTCTTTGGAGAATTTCAAACAAAAAAAAAGAAAAAAAAGGAAGCTCCAGTGAATCCCAGAAAGCGTTTTAAATTCAAAGAGAATCTAAGGAAGAATTTTACGAATTTTTGGGAGTGTTCTACAGAGAATTTCTGGACTGTTATGAATGCATTTTCAAGGGAGTTCCAGAGAGAATTTAAAAATTTATTTTCTTAAAATTCTGAAAAGAACTCCCAATCATATAAAAGCCTGTAAAGTTTTGAGCGAAAACTTCGAACGTGTCGCATAACCAAATTCAAGATGCAGCAAAGGTGCAGCTGTTCAGTTTGATGCTAAATTCAAATGTACATCGTATTTAAATTGTTGGTGGGATGAAGGGGGATACCCCTCACCATCCCTCTCCAACGGGGGAGTTTAGTAAAGAGAGATGATCAACCCGATTTGTACGTTCCTCAAAGTTGTCCGTTGCTCGTTTTCTACCCTCTATATACAATTTTCATACTACCGTACTCTAACGGAACTATCAACTCTATACTTTCATCTCCTCATCTATCGTATAAAATTACCACTTTAGTCTGTTATTTGAAATTAGCATCTTCAACTATGTAAATCGTTAACTTCACGCAGAAGTAATACAAACAAATAGTCATAGATTTTTTTATTAAAATACTCATGGCTAACTTAGATCTACATTTAATTCTAGGCTGCAGTTCTTCTCGTTGCTAAACGCAGCGCTCCATATCTATCCTAGATCTTTAAAATTAATTGTTCTAAAATTGTCAAAATTTGTCTAAATCCTTGAATTTTAATATTTTTCTCTGTGCCTCAATTTTGCGCTCTAATCACCAATTCGCGATTTGCATCTAATATCAACTTAGTAAATTGTTTGTTTAACAAAATCGAGGTAGACAAAAGAGTGCAGAGTGAGTTAGAAGTGGAAGTTAGAATTGGACCTTTTGCTTATTCAATTCATATTTATTATTCGAGAACAAATTTATGGGGTTTGAGAGTTTATAAAAAAATTTCGAAGTGGCAATCGCAATCAAAGGAAGATTTGAACCATATCATGATTTGATCTCGATTTGCTATCATTTAGATGTTGGACTTTGCTCGGGCAGTCAGTTGAATGTGAATTTTAATTAATTTTGAACCGTGTCACAATGCCCTGCACACGTCTGTGGTCCTTCCAATTGGATGGTTCGCCTATCCTCTCTTCCTGCTCTCATTATTATCGGTGTGGCGAAATAGTCCTTCCGTGCTTCCCACAAGCTCGCGATACCGCAAATATGTACGGTCCTTGAATGAATGAAGTTCGTGATTCCTTAAAATCCAGTCTGTCTGTTAATGTTGGTGATTGCATCATCGTGCAGACTTGATATCACCACCAACAAGGTTGGTGCTCTCCGAGTTGCAGAGTTTCTCCAGATCAGTGCGTTCTTCTACATCGTCATCATTTACGACTGAAAACAAGTCCACGGAAAGGAAAAGTGATTATAAACTACGGGAAGATGCTTACATAATTTATGTATTCCTTCGTTTCAATTGCACAAGAAGAACTTACGTTCGCATTCCGTACCTTTCTGCCAAACCATGCCAACAACAATACGCCACCTGAACGTGTTCATACCGACCAACAGCAAATGCAGCTTTCGGTGGTGTGTTTGCATTCGATTAAGCGCTTTTATGCTTGACCGTAGTCCCGTAGTCATCGTCATCACAGGTGACTGCAATCGCTAGCTCGCCCATTTTTTTTTTATTCATCATCAACTTTTCACCCTCCGTGCATTCGCGCGTAATTGATTGGATTGCGATTGAATTTGTTCGGGGATTCTAACCATCCAATATTCAAGTGCCCTCTCGGCCAACACCAGCTAGCTCGTTCAGCTTTTCACACAGTCGAAAAACGTTCCACCACCCGGCAATTCCCATTATCACGAGTGTCAATTTTGTGCAATGTTGTTTTTTTCCGCCCGGTTCCATACCTTCCGTACAACTATATCGACAATAATCGAGTTTTTTAATGCAAACATTTTTTTTTTTATTTTCGGTTTTGAATTTTCAGTACGAGCCAGTAAGGTCGTGGCCATCGCCGGCAGCGAGCCCGGGCCCGGGTGGACAGCAGCAGTCACATTTACCTCCATCGCCGCACGGTCCACCGCAGAGTCCGGGCCATCACGGGTCCGCACCGAGTCCGTCCCCGCAGCCTCCGCAACCTGCACAATCTCCGCATCAGGTGAGTCCTCTGCTCGTGTTTTGCTTTTGCGTTAGTTAGTGGTATGCACCTCAGTCCTCCAAATTGGTTCGGGGGAGGAGGGGGTCAAATTCATTCCGGAAATAGAAAAGTCGCATATTCATAGATTCAATTCATTCATCCAGTTTGTGCACTCATTCACGCAACATCGTCGATAACCTAATTGGGAAACAGATTGGACGGAGCCGAGTTGAAGCTTTAGGAAGGTTGCATTTGGAAATTCCGAAAATGGGAGGAAGTCCCATTAGAGTAGAATTAATTTTCTATGTGGGTTTTCAGTGTGGATAGAACGGAACTAACATCATGGCAATATCGCCACTAGACTGGAACAGCGTAGGGTAAACCAATCATTCAATTTTTACGAGTTTGAGATCTCCAGGTCGATTATAGGACGTCATTATCATAGGTGACAGCGGGCCCAAGCAGCAAAACAAAACAAAAAATGGGACATGCTGCCTACTGTCATACTTTGTTGTTGGTATAGGCTAAGGAGATCTCATACCTCTCACGGTTACACTTTTCAGAAATGTCAGGTCCCCTAATCTTGAACAGTTTTCTTAGACCAGGATATTCAAATGGGTTACCAATCAAAGTCGCGAGAATCTCTTTGAATTTTCTTCGAATTCTCTTTGAAATTCTAATTAGAATTGAATTGTTTTTAGAATCTCCCGGAACACAACTCCGATTTTTTTTTTGGAAATAATGTTCAAAAATTTTGGTAGGTAGCGAGCCGAAATACTGGATTTCCAATCAACGCGGCTTTCCTAAAATTCAAATATTACTTCTTTTACGTACCCGTCTTTTTAATGGAATTTCATAACGGTCAATAGTGTAAGGCAGTGACGTCCCGTAGCCTCACTTTTTACCTGTCCATCAACTTTCAAAACCAGATTTAATGCCATATTCACACTCGAATCGGTTGAAAAATACACTTAATCTTCTAGTTTACTCGATATCTATCCATTGCAAGCTATATTTTTGATAATTGATTATGTTTTGAGAGTTGGTTCACAGGTAGCTAGAGGTTAAGGAAACGCCACTGGTGTCCCAACAAACAATTACCTATTGAAGAAACGACTTCTTGACGATTTTATTCCACTTCATGCTTAATAATACTTGTACTATTTTTAATAATAACTTCTGTTCAGGCTTTGTTCACACAAATCTGGAGAATTTGTTCAACCACAACATCGAATTATTTGGTGTTGAATAAGGTATGTCGAGAAGCTTTTATTCGACTTACAAAAGTTGTAACAGGAAAGGATGCTATTCTTTTCGATAGATCTATGAATTGGTTGTCGTGAGTGATACGATTTATGATTACGATTTAAATTAATTAGGCGTAGAAAATAAATAAAAAAAAAAGGGTTGATGCTGGGATTGAACTCGCGACCTTCTACTTGGAAAGCGGAAACGGTAACCACTATGCTACCAATTTCGTTTTGCTGTTAGCCTGAAGCAGTGTTGTGGAATAATGAATGAATACGCCGATTGTAAAGCATTTACAAAACATGCAATTAAAACATGGACGCATAGTGGTATAAGAGCTATTTTGCTGACTGTAGTCACCTATATACAGTAGTATTGTAAAGCAATGCAATGAAATCTAATAATGGAGCCAGAAAACATTTATAAGACGTCTAATTAAGCATTTTATTAAACCAATTAAAAACAGTCGAATTAAAACGACAATGTATGTGCAAATTACACTTATTCAGTTTGTTATTAGATCAAACTTCTTGTTCTGAATCAGCAAGACAGTCAACGTTTATAAAGCTTTTAATAAGTAAATTAATCATATCAGAGCAAACGGTGAAATAAAGGCGCATCTTTCGATCTCAATGAGCTTTTTTCAGCACATAATTCGACATCCTGTTTTATTCAGCATTGTGCACTGTTATACAGCATTTATTCAATGTGTATGCTTATTTGTGACTGTGAATTGTTTGTTGGGGTAAGGTGCTTGGGTTCTAACCCACGATCTTCTGCTCAGTAAGCAAAAACAGTCGCTATAAAGCCACCGAGACCCTTACATCACAACAAGCTACGACCGACAATCGTTCATTATTGGTTACAAGAAGCTATTATAATGTCCGCAAATAGTTAACAATGTCTTCCAAACTGGATCAGGCTTACGTCACATTTGTCTAAATATACGTATTACTTTTCTGAATCGTTCCACCGATTTCTATTATTAACGATTTTCTACAATAGAGGCCTGGATAGACCAACTCAGTAATGTAACGAGGTTTGGGTTTTAATCCATGATCTTCTACTCATTAAACAAAAAAACGGTTGCTCTGTAACCACCCTGCCCCTTACATTAACACTATCAACGATCGACTTAACAAAAAGCTATTCAAATGAAGTGACGTCTCCGAAAGCAGCCTGCAATGCCATCCAAACTGGATCACGCATACACCCTTTACGAGATTCATGGTTTAAACAATTCAACTTTTGGTTATAACCTGCGCTTCATGCTCGCGGAACCCAACGATGGCGGATTATTCTGAGAGCTTGATATTCTGCTCATTAAGCAAAAACGATCCCTCGAGCATCTAAAAACCACAACACTTCACGACAAAATATGATTAAGTTTTCGCTTGGTATGTAATGAACAACAGAAATACGCAATAATTCACCGGCGAGAGACCAGCAGCCGAGCACTTTTGCAAGCGGAAAACGTTGGCCACCGAATCACCACCAAAACTCCCATTGTAGCCACACAATAATTAGATATGATTTACTTTTCCTCCATATCATCTTTATCCCCGCTTGAGTGAAATTTTCATCACCAATCTCGGTCATTCTCGAAACTCACACACACAAACTCCAACACTGCATGATCGAACGTGTTTTCTTTTTCTATTCTTTTACACCACACAATGGATCGACGCGCTTTTTTTTTTTCCTTTGGTTTGTTTTTTCCGTCGATCTTGTTTTCCGTGCTGAGCACCAATGCTACCGACGTGCCACAGGAAGGCAGCTCCCACACCTGGACCCTACCTATCGACCCATCAGCTCATGAACCGGGGACCAACGGCTTTACTTCCCATCCGAAGGAAGGCGTGATCAGAGATGTTATGCCTCAGAACATCCCGGCGGCGCCGACTGGGATTGAACCCAGGCCTGCTGGGGTGAGAGGTAATCACGCTTACCACTACACCACCGGCGCCGTTCTCTACAGCTTTGCCGAACATAATTATTTTGTATCTCATAATAGGGGAATTTACGTATTCTCGGCAACCTAAGCAGCGACCTTCCTTCTATAGCATTTTTCTCTAAGGAACGCACACATATGCAGTATTGGTTTGTTTACAATCTTTTGCTGCCAGCTGCTCTAACAATTTCAGTCGAAAGAATTGTCAAAAACTGTTTTGAAACGCTTTTACAAAGCTCCAATCTTCTCTAGTGAGAGCGAGTATTGTCGGCAACCAGTTTTTCTTCGGCAACCGTTCCATTTGAACTGCATGTAAATCTGCTGTTCTATTATCGGCAACTCGAAATCAGCTACAATTTGTAGTGCGTGTGTTGCATTTCAAGAAAACCTTGCTAGATTGCTTTTTCTCAGTGGTAAAAATATAGTCAAATTGAAGCTGAAAGCATAAAGAATCGTTTGAATGCATTCAGCGAAGTGTTTTCGTAAGAAAATCCAGTGAAAATAGTGTTTCAATTTGGGTTGTCGAAAATAGTCTGGCATGCCGAAGCCGTCATTTCCCCTACTAAAAAAAAAAATTGCATCTCACTTTAAGGTGGATCAATCTTTAATTTTCTTTTACCATAAGAAGGAGTGTTGTAATTCGAGAAACTTCTCAGAAGACACTTAGTACCTTTAATCTACCATTTCAGCGTAAATAAAAAAGCGCGTGTTTTGATACCATTGGCACCACTGTGCGTTGTGATGACTATTACCTATTACCTTCAGTTTCCTCTTCATAATTGTCCAGTAGTTTTCGATTGGCCTGAACTGGGGACAATTCGGGATTGAGGATTTTCGCAACTAACTGAACTCCGTTGTCATTGTACCATTGTTGAAGGGCAGAATTCGTTGCTGGAGTCGGTTTTGTATACAAATAGATGTCAAGAGTTTCCGAAAAAGTCCACTAGGAGCGCTGTAATAAGCAAAAGAGTTTGTTCCATTACTAAGTGGGCTATGGTTTATGATGTATTGTTTCAAGTTTTCAAAGCATTAATGTTCGATAGAAACACGGCGAATGAGAACGACCCAAATTTGAGTTTAGTTCACTCATAATCCCCAAAAGTGCAGGAACTCAGCGATGAGTTAATTTGCCTCACGTTTTGCCAGGTTTTTCCAGGATTTTCCAGGGAAAAATTCCTGAATTTGAGAAAAGTAAAGATTGCATTCACTCAGTCTATTGGTACTACTAGGAGACTGAATAAAATTTTCGTCAGTTTCCTCGTTTTCCGGCAGATTTTTTAGGTTTTCCACAGGAAACCATGAGACAAATTTTACTCATCGCTGAGTTCCTACACTTTTGGCGATTATGAGTGAACTAAACTCAAATTTGAGTCGTTCTCATTCGCCGTGAATATAAATCAAACCAACGAATAATTCCTTGAAACATATTTTTGAGAAGGATATGATTGATGTCTCTGAGGAGGGGCACCCCTCTAAATTGAGGATTCTGGCTTTAGCTCACCATCGCCCTACTGTTAATACGGCTCTGATTTCCCTGCGTTTCGGCCCTTTTCACTTTTCATTACGAAAACAGCATCTGTATCGCAAATAAAAATTTCCTTTCTTCCGAAATGTTCATTCATTTCCATTTCCCGGACAAACCCCAAACCGTACACTCGTACTGGCCAATTAACTCATAAACTATTCAACAGTTCGGTTTGACCACCTAGTCACCCTCCAAGCCAATAAAAAAAGGACTGATGCAGTTGGCCAATCGACCGCCGGCTGCCGCGATGTTGGCGGCTAAAGTCGATCGGAATTCAATTTCGGCGAATGTGGAATTGCGCATTTTCGGAGAGCTGTCCGATTGAATCTAACTCTCGGCAAAGGCAAAACTCAATCGCCGCTGAGCGCTCACTGTCAGATCAAAGCTTGCAGTTTCGAACGAACTGCAAAAACGCGGTAGTCAAGGACCGTTGATCCGTACATTGCGCTATTTGACAGAGCAGGGGGTTCGCTCCTACAGGGATGGGATTTCACATTTCAAAACACATAGTGCAGCGCATCCGCTCGACATTTGTGAGGGCTTCCGTACCGTCGGAACAATGTAGATCAGCAATGCGCCTCCGCCTCCTGGCGTGTATCTGTGTGTTATTCATGAAGCCGTACGATTGCACGGTCGTTACTCTCCCTCTCTCTTTCTCTCTATGCTGCCGCACCGTGGCGCTTGGTGGGTACATAAAATCCAATATATCATCGGGAATGGAAGGCAAGCATTTTCTACGAAATACCATCCACCATCCCAACGACGATGACGACCGACGTATGCGTGCTGGAGCCGTAAGTGGGTTGCCGCCGCTTCTGTTACGGTTACTGGGTTGTAGAGTTGTGACGAACACAAAAAAGGAACGGAACGACGACGACATCGCGTTCCGCAAAGTTGGCCCATTGAAAGTGAAAACGATATAAATCTCGCTTCTATGTTGTTTCCTTGCCCACCACCCGTGCCTTTTGGCGCTGTAACCGCCAATATTTCATTTCGGACTGATCCAATTCTCGGGGTTTAGGAGAAACCGGCTGGCCGGCTCCCACGTGCATTCATTTGTATTGAAATTGCCAAATTTTGGAATCCTTTCTCCCGCGTGCCAACCCAACCCCGAACCCAACGATCAATTTGGTCGTCGTCGTCGTCGTCGTCGCCGGCATGAATTTGAACGGAATCGAGAGTGAAAATAGAAGCGTTTCCGTCCTCTTCGACGTAGCTATGTACGGCGAATGTGTGTGCATATAGATTAAAATGAATGTATGCATGCAAAAACAAACTCGACTCTCGTAAACTACAAATCAGCTGATCCAGTGCTCTACATTTTTGTTTTGTTTTGTTTTTGTTTTCGGTTCGGGTTGAATTCTCTTGTTCGCTTTTCTTTCACCCGATTTATCCTTTTTTTTGTGAGGCAATGGTGGTGCGGTAGGATAACGCGGTTGCTTTAATGAGGGGAAGAATGCTACGAATAGTATTTTGATTTTTTTCCTTTAGGTGAAGGATGTACCAACAAAAAGAAGGTCGGATATGATTATATCAATGGAATTTGCAAGGCGGACTGGGAAAATGTCTAGAGCTGTCTTTTCCAAACTGCCACGATAGCGTAATTTTCGCTTGGTGAACATTTCGTAATGATAGCGATTGGCCATTGACAGTCGCTATCCACACTAAATCGACATATTAATGTATCAGTAACGAAAATAATGGTTACGCAACAAAGGACGAAGAATTCTTGGATCTTGGTACACCCAACCGGAGAATACAGAATCTGTAATAAATCACTCCATATACAGATTCTATTGTTAACAACATGTTAAATAATTTTATAAACTAAGTGGAAATCCTCATGCACAAATGGATCTAGAAATGCCGATCTTCGTTGATCTTAAAATTCCTCCGATTCATATGTTTGGTTAGAGGATTCTAAATTCAGAATCGATGCCAACGGTCGTCAGGTACGGATTGACCGAACCGAAGCTGTTCAAAATTAATGATGTCCACATTCGGGGTCGATTCCCGTGTGATGGATTATCGTTGCGTGCTACTGAAAATCGCACACAGGACTCTCGCAACACACATTTTGATACTCCTGACGGACGTGTCCTGCCGTGTAGTCCGATTCGATCTATCCCTCGCCGGACGAAACCCTCCAACATTCTGCCTCCCTACCGCTTCTGCCAAGTTAATGTTTCAAAATTGGAATTGATGTCAGTTTAATTGAATAATCCTTTCATCTATCCGATGCATTTGCAATCAAATTAAGCAATAACATTTATTTTGCGGTCGGTGAACGTTGGACTTTTTCGTTCCCTTGGTCCCGCGGCGTCTCCACACATTCTCTGGGCTTTTTCCTCCCGTTCGTTGGGACCCACAAAGTATGCTAGTATCTGCTCTGCGCAGCAATCGGCCGACAGTAGTGGGTGTTGGCGTGACGTTATGTTGTTTTTAATTTTGCACTAAATCGATTTCTGTCCTGACCGCGCCGTCGCCGTCGTCGTCATCATCACCATCATCATCATCATTGTTGGGGCCGGTTGGGTTTTGGTGCTCTATTGTGGTCCACGCCGTGTGCAGGCGGTTGCAGTGCATTGTTCTGTCGCATGTTTGGTCGGTCAGTTGCAACTAGCTTGGTATAAACTGGGGCACATTTTGATGCGGTTTCGCGTTGTTGGGTTTTGGAACGTGTCCGGTTTTGCAGTTCTGGCACTTTTCACGATAATCGAAAAATTGTTACATTTAAATATATTTTCCATTCGTTTTCATTTTTCTGTTTTACATAATCGCACACTCGCTTGCACACTTCATAATTTTTAATTCTTAATTAGGTTTTCATTAACGACCTTCTGTTTCATGCATCGCGCAAATCGAAAAAGCAAACGAGCGACGGGAAGGTGTGAAGCGCTCGCAAATTTAATGCATTCTACTTATGCAAGTTTTTTTTTCTCCCTCGTTTCTCTTAATTAATTATTTGCAGTATCCAACGCGACCGAGCCAATCATCGACGCCAAATATAAACGATGGAGAAATGACAGGGGTAAGCTGGTGTACTTTGTGTTCTTATTGCTTGTTAACCGATTGGATGCGATTGTGGTTATTTGCGTCCGAATTTTATTACTTTTATATTTTATGTTTTCCCCTTGTTTGTATTGCTGTGTCTGCCGCCCACACATAACCGGAATTTCATATGGAGATAGGATGTGCAGAGGATAGACAATTATGTCCCACTTTAAATGTAGGTGCAAGCTTCCTCCAATACTCCAATTTCAACTAACATACAAAAATTGTCACATTCAAGCATGGGAATTTTACACTTCGTTCGCTTGCGCGAGCAAATCAGTGATGGTATAAGTACTGGTTGACTGCATTACATTTGAAAGTTTAGCATTTTTAATCGGCGCCTACCAAAAACCAAAGCAAACTGAAATGTGGTGGGGCAAACTGTAAATTTTCGCATAACACAAAAAATCGAGACCAGCGGCAGGCGAGACAGATTTGTGTCGTTCATAACTGTTCTGTTTTCCGACTAATTACCTCATCGCAAATACAACTGGTCTCTCTTTTTAGTGACATTGTCTTTTTTCCTTTTTTAAGGCCAAGTCACTGACGCCACTTTTCCTAGTGTGTGAATGTATTTCAAGATTGTTCATTCTTCTTTCAGTGTGTGGGATCTGGTAATCCAATCGATGTCTACATTTTGATCTAATTTTCGAACAATTCGAAGGTGTTGTGCTTCTATAGAATTTTTTACGTTTAATCGTCTTTATCTATCTACATGGTGTGTCTACTCATTTGGCTAAATAAAATTCCCTGTAATTTTCAGGTATTTGATTTAATACCCTCTGATTGTCACCAAAAACAAATGGATGGATTGATTGCAGGGCTGGTAGTGAGCCACTTTTTAGTGAATTGATCACTTTTTTCACGCCAGTCACTAAAAAGTCTCTTTTTCTTGCAATCAGTCACTATTTTCAACTTTTTTAGCGTGAATTTATTTCCAGATTGATCATTCTTCGTGCTCTCTTGCCGTGCGGATCTATTTGCTTTTTGCTGAAGGAAGTATTACTGCTACCTAAAGCTACAACAAATTTAAACAGCACTTTTCAGTGCTCAACCTGTCAAATTTCTACCTTGTTCAACTCTTATTCCTCTTCGATCCTTGTTCGGACCCTACCCGAGGTAATCCTTCTTTGATATCGATTTGGAAAATTCCTCTTCGATCCTTCAGATTCTTATAGTAATATGCTTGGAAGTCGATTTGGATAAAAATTTACTGCCGCCATATGCCTAAGCGCAAAAGAAAGGGGCAAACTCTTGACCCCCCTTCTGATGAAATTAATTTGCGTAATCAATTAGATTTGTTCAAGGATGATGAGAATGATCCATCATCCAAGAAAAGTTCTAGTAAACTTTCCCGGCTTAATGCCAAGAAGGTAAAGATTCCCCCTATTGTGATAACCACTTCCGATTTCCATGCTCTTCGCATGGAACTTTTCAACTTCGTGAAAGTAAAATTTTCACTACAAATTGGACGTCGGGGTGGTTGCCGTGTATTGGCTGAAACCTTGGACGAATTTAAATGTCTTCTCAAGTATCTTACTGAGAAGCAGCACAAATTTTTTACTTACGACACCAAAACTGAACGTGTGTTCAAGGTTGTCATGCCTGCTCAGTGGTGAATCCCTAGATCAGATCAAAGATGAACTGGCAAAATTACTTGGAGTTGTGCCACTCCAAGTAATCAAAATGAAAATGAAATCCCGTCCTGGTGATTCGCGCAACGGGATTTCTAATGATTTTCAATTCAAGTCTAGTGAACTAAACAACCTTAAGGCCTTAGAAAAAGTAGAAGGGTCTGTGTCTAGGGGTACGAACGGAAGCTTGACGTAGGACCGCTAGTGGACGGAATAAATGTGAAGAGCATTTAGTTCTTTTAATTGATCAATTATCTATTATCTCAACTTTTTCCGTTCTTGAATTGTAGGCGTACCAAATTTGTAGTAATCTTTTTCAAAGAGAGAGTTGATTAAGAGAATCAATCAAAATCACTTGCTCCCCTGCTTCCAAGTTAACCAAACTTACAAGATTACAACTCTGGAGAGCATTTTGTGTGGTCGTTGGGGGCTTGTGGTTCTGAATATGGACAAACAAGCACAGATAAATTATATTCCAACTCTTTACTGATGTAAGCTTGATGGCCCTGAAAAGAGCAGTTTTATTCATGAGGACATCCTAGGCCACTTACGCTTCTCGTGTTTAGTGTAGGTGACAGCACCACGGACCTCATTTTCCAGGAACACCTTCAGCACACCTCGTAGATCAGACCGGAGATACGTTCTACACCACCACGGCGAGCCAGACGACCGATGGCGGTTATCTCGAAGAACTTTGCGATGACGCTTGGCGTCTCTTTTAACAGACCTTTTCCTCCTTTGCCACGACCAGTCAATGGATGCTTATTAGGTGTGAAGGAGTGGATTAGCCACCCCCTTTTCTACTACTACTATTGCTGTTCACCACGCCGTTCGAAGCGAAAATGAGCTAATGTCATACAGCAGCGCTCTTTTATATCTTTTCAGGTTAAAGCAGAATGATGTGCAACCAAGTGGTTTAAAAGCTACAAAGACTCCTCCCATTAGGAGTAGTTTGCTATCAAGTAGCGACACTGGCTCTTTTCCTTTTGCGTACACGACGAATGAGAACGACCCAAATTTGAGTTTAATTCACTCATAATCGCCAAAAATGCAGGAACTCAGCGATGAGTAAATTTGTCTCATGGTTTCCTGTGGAAAAAAATGAGGAAATTTACGAAAATTTTATTCAGTCTCGGAGTAGTACCAATAGACTGAGTGAATCCAATCTTTACTTTTCTCAAATCCGGGAATTTTTCCCTGGAAAATCCTGGAAAAACCTGGCAAATTTACTCATCGCTGAGTTCCTGCACTTTATTTCTTATTTCTGAGATAACTAAACTCAAATTTGGGTCGATGTCATTTGCCGTGATATCACCTTGAAAGATATCGGCGCCGGTGGTTAGCGTGATTACCTCTCACCTTAGCAGGCCTGGGTCCAATCTCAGTCGGCGCCACCGGCATGTTCTAAGGCATAACATCTCTGATCACGCCTTCCTTCGGGAAGTAAAGCCGTTGGTCCCCTGTTCATGAGTTGATGGGTCGCTATGTAGGGTCCAGGTGTGGGCGCTGCCTCCCTGGCGTCGGTAGCATTGGAGCTCAGTACGGAAAACAAATCTCGCGTCACTTTTCAATAGGTCCTATCTACATTGATCGATTCTCTTCATCGAAACTCTCATTCGTAAATAACTCTGTTTCAACAATGTTTCCTACCGTCTTCGTCAAATTAGATGCTAGATTGTTGCTTCTTCCATCGAAAATATCCGGCCGTGGCGATTCAAAGTTGATCAAGGTTGATCAAAATAATTTGTACCCCTGCTTCCAGTTTGATTACATGAGCATTTTGTGTGGTCGTTGGTTCTGAATATGGACAAACAGGCAGATGAATTCTATTCCTACTCTTTACTGTAATTAGCTTGGTGGCTCTTAAATGAGCCGTTTTGTTGCCAAAGTTGGTGATGATTTAACAGACGACGGATGGTAGTTATCTCGAAGAATTTGCGTTTGGTTCTGAATATGGCGATGAGTGTGCAAAATATTACGCAATTCCATCCTAACTCTTTGCACGCGCCCGAGGATCGGAGGCGAATGCCACCTCGACTTGTTTCGTCTACTTACTACTCTCTGATGACTGTGCTGGGGAAGCAGCATATGCATGTAGGTCATTGGTGGATTTGTTAGTTAATTCGACGCTTTTGGACAATGCTGGACGTTTACCAGTTTTTCAATAGTTTCTTGTTAAAAATCAACATTCGGAAGCATTGTTGATGATGATAATGATGATTAATGATAAAATTATTGAAATTGGACCAGGGGTAGCTAAGTTATTAACGTTCAAATTCTTTCTTAATTTGTTACATGTTCCATTTTCGGTTTTCACAAAGTGTACCCCCATATAGAAATCAAAGACGTAGTCCTACGTCAAAAGCTAGCCTTATGCTCCATGTCCGAGTGAAGTGGGAACACTTCAGGAAGACTGGAGGAAATTTTCAAAACCTCACCCAGTGCCGTAAGTGCCAGGGATGGGTTCACGGAACTAAAAATTGCAACATGCCAGCTAAATGCATGAATTGTGGTGATTCCTCTCACGCAAAGGACGACTGTCCTGTGAAGGAAGATCCTAAGAAATTTAAATGTTCAAATTGTGGTGAAAACCACAAATCCAATTTTTGGGAATGTAAGACTCGCAAAGCGATCCTACAATCTCGTTCCAAGCGACAGGTAGGAAACGCTCCACGTTTCCGGCCAGGTACAAATTCCTCTGCTCTTTTTTAAGGTCAAGTCACTAAAGTCACTTTTTCTTGTAATCAGTCACTATTTTCCACTTTTTTATCGTGAATTTATTTCAAGATTGATCATTCTTTGCTTTGTGACGTTTGATCGTCTTTCTCTATCTACAGGGGGTCTACTCATTTTTATAAATAAAATTTCCTGAGTTTTCCAGGTTTTTCCAAAACTTTAACGGATAAATTCAAGGCTTATAATAAGAAAGATATTTTTAAAATGCGTTCAAAATATACTTTTTTCTGGAAGATCAAAAACAACAGAAATTTACCCAAACGTTTTTAAGACATGGCAGTAAGTTTTAAAGAAACAACTTTATAATGAAATCCATTGAATGTTGAAGTTTAGCACTTACTTAATTTCTCAGTTTAATAAAGTTAAAAAAAACGTACTTAATTTGAGTAAGTCCAAGATCTAAAAATATTCAATGTCTTGTAGTTTCGTATTCCATGTACATGTTCCAGATATTGAAAATTTTCAAAGTGCTCACCCGGGGAAGACCTCATTAAACTATATAAAACGACTATTCTTTCAGTTCTTGAGTATGGCTCTTTTTGCTTCCTCTCGGCAAGAAAAAGCCACCTAATCAAATTGGAACGTATTCAATATCGTTGTTTACGTA